GTTCATTCACAAACCTCTTAATTTCAATTCAATTTTTCATTTTTAGCAAGAGAGGCAAACAACATCCAAGGATCCATATGTTTTCTTATATCAACAATAAACTCGGATACATTTTGGTTCATTCTTTGCAAATTCATAAGCAAACTTTTTTGTAATAGAATAGTATTGCGAAGTTAGTCACAATTCATTTATACTTTCAAACTGTTAGCCCTTTCAATTAATATTGTGTGCCACCATTGAGGAGTGATGGAAGTGTTGTTGAGAATATCATCAGATCTCATTGAATTCTCACCAGACGGACAATCATTTCAGATCCTTTATAAATTAGAAGTATTTTCTGAAGAAGGATGACTATATTCTGCATTCAAAGAGGTATCACTACTACACAAATAAATGAACAAATGAGATATAAAATTCAACTATAATCTTATCTTTTAATATTTTAAATTAACAGCTTCTTTTGTAAGTTAACAAGTAATTGTGAACATTAATTGACTAGAAGGAAAGTTAACAAGTTTTGGTAAAACTTAACATAGAGCAGTGAAAGTTAACCTACTATGACAAAAGTTAACATACTAGTACGAAAGTTAACACGTTCAATTAAAAGTTAACATGTTATTGTGATAGTTAACAGAAAACCCTAAAAGGTAACATGTTTTAGTAAAAGCTAACTAATAACGATGAAAATTAACAAACAACTGGAAGAGTTATCATATAACCACTAAAGTTAACAATTATGATTCATCTATGCTTTGAAACATGAAATCACAAAGCCTACATCACACAAAGCCCAATTTTAAAAAGAGTTTATCGATTACTTACATTTTAGTTAGAAGTTTTTGATTTTTTTCAGAAGTAGAACCCTCTATATTAACAATATCTTGCATATGAATACAACCAATATTTCGATAATGCTCCACCATGCATTTCAAATTGTTTTCATTATCAATTAAAACAATCAGATTCGGGTGTCTCTCAGATTTATATATCAATGATAAAGCATCTTAAGGTACTTTCAGTCTTTCAGACACATCCAATTTCAGTCCATAAAAGCTTGTTATAGAACTTAGCAATGAGAATATAGCATTCTCGCCTAACGACACCATGCAAATCAAGTCTTTGGTGGTCATAGGGGGTTGTTGAAAGTTATGAGGGCAGTTATGAGGAGTAATTGAGGGAATTTTTAGGACATAAGGGGTTGTTAAAAGTTGAAGAACAAAACCTTAGTACCATAAATGAGGGAGTGAGAGATTAAATAATAAGATAGAGAATATATGATGACTTGGAGGAGTAATGGAGGGAAGCCGCACCTTTTTCCCTCAATTTTTGATGTCGCCTTGCATTAATTGCGATCTCCCCCTCCACCAGTTACTGTTGTTGTGTTACCATGGTGGCTTAATGGTTGAGAAGAGGGTATTTTCGGAGGACCGTCTCAAATACAACCTATACATATATAATAATGAGCTTTTGGATCTGGGCCACACTATTTTCAGTCATTTGGGGTTAAAAGCACATGAGAAAACCTTCATAGGGCTAGGCTACATGAGGTTTCTCATTTTGGGGCATTGACACATTTTTTTTCCAAATATTTTAGTAGAAGAATATTGATTTTTATTCTCTAGTATTAGTATAAGTTATTTCTATAGTAAGTATATGACAGATTGTAAATTATGAAATGCAGAACATAAGTACGTAACAACAAAGTTACACTTCATGAAACCTCTCACGCTTAGGGGTGGAAAGTTTATTAATTCTTCAAGTAACTATTTAGGAATATTTTATTCGGTTGTTCATTTAACATTGAATAAATAAATTTTATTATTATAATTTATTAACAAATAAAATTTAACCAGATTTATATTTGATTTATTTGCTTGTTAAATATTCGATTAAAATTTGTTCGCTTGTAATTTGTATAATTATTCACATGATGTTATATTTTCAATCCACTTTTTACTTCTATTTAAGTTCTATAAATAATCTTAAATTAGTTTTTCTAATGAAAGTATTCAAATTAAATATATATTCATCATAATTACAAAGGAATAATTTTCACATATAAATTTAAATACCATTTGAAAATCAAATTTTTTAGTGGAATTAATAAACTTTGATATTCTTTAAATATTCATGAATATTCATGAATATTTATCAGATTCTGAGTATTTGAGTTCGAATCAGAAAAACTCCAGATACGTATATTTGAATTCATATTCGAATTCGATAACTTAAAACATATACATACACCTTACTCTTCGCTTCGATTCGATCGTTCACCGCTCTTGCTTAGAAGTCAACTAGTAATTTGTACATAAACCCTCTTCTACTTTGAAAATAAGGGAAAACCTCCCTAAATTTCATAAGGTTTTGTTATTTAGATATTAGTCCCTCAAATCTTCGACAATTCCATGTTAGCTGCCAAATCTCAATAATGGCTCATTAGCCCCTCAAATGTTAGACCCTAATGCCACTAGGAAAGAACCCTAGAGGAGGGGGGGGGTTGAATAGGGTTTATGCTAATCTAATCCGATTTTATGCCAATTTAAACTTACTAACAAATATCCTAGCAAAAATGATATGTAACAAGATAACTATGCAAGGATATGAAACAAACACAAGGGGAAACTAAACAAGATAAATGAGATAGTAGGCAATATAAACAATGAGCAATTGACAAAGACGATATAATGATAAACACAAAAATAAGTGCGCCAATGCAATCACAAACAAACGATATGTTCACGAGGTTCGGTCCCCACGACCTACGTCCCCGCTCCTCACCTCGAGGAGATATCCACTATTACATCGGGTTTTTTACGCTTACCCGAAAAACATTTACACATCACAATACGGTTTTCTAGCTAACCAAAAACTTTACAATCCACACTCACAATGTAACTACACTAACTACTACCTCAAGTGTTGGTCCTCATGTATCGACTTCCTCAAGTGCTCGGAATTATCACCTCTCACTAGGCCACCGACGCCACTCCTCTCGGTATCGACTCCGTCCTCACCACACACTCCTCTTGGTGTACTAGTGTATTACAAAGTGATCTTCACAAATAGGCTCACAACAAATGGTTTGTTCTCTAAACAAGATGAGAACTCAATTAGGCACAACTCTAAGTCACAAACCCCACAACCCAAAATATACTATGAATATAAATACTATAAGCTCAATAGGTTGTGTGTGAACAAAGAGATTCAATAAAAATAATTTAACTAAACTCAATATAAATCTAGCTTATGAAAATTAGAAACAAAACAATAAATAGCTAGAATGAGTTTAGGAAAACTTCTCTATAGATCAAGAGAGAGATGAGTTGAAGCTCAAACACCAAAGGATGATCCCTTCTTCCTCTTGTGAAATTATCTTCACAAAATCGAAACTTTGAAACAAGGCTTTAAACACCTTTAAACAAACTTAAACCCTTGTTAAACTTGATTAAAACATTTTCTTGGATTGGTTTGAACTAAGGATATGTGGGGGTATTTATTGGAACCCCAAAGGCAAGAGAAAATAAGGAAAAAAGACCAAAAATCCAAAAACAATACAGTCTGGAAATATAGTCGTTACAGTGTTATGAGTTGACTCGTACTTTTCATGAGTCGACTCATAAGTAGCCGTTACAGGCTAAAAACCAACTTTTGGGTCGACTCATAAAATTCATGAGTCGACTCATCATGCATGGGTCGACTCATGAATTCATGGGTAGACTCAGCAGACACAAAACTCAATTTCCAACACACTTTATGAATCGACTTATGACAGGCATGAGTCGACTCAACCTGTCTGGGTCGACTTATGATATTATGAGTCGACTAATGATATTATGAGTCGACTCATGATATTATGAGTCGATTCATCAGAAACAAAATGTAAACTACACAACAGTTTATAAGTCGACTCAACACTGTTCATGAGTCGACTCATGACATGCACACAGCCTGTTTTAAACAGTACATGTCAACATAAAACAGGGTTTAAAAATATCAAATAAATTCAGAAAAATATAAAACTTTGGGAAATGATTATAGACATGATAATAAACATGCTACAGAAACTGGTTTTTAAAAAGGGCCTCCCAAATGAAAAATATCATCATTTTGTAAATATGTCCAAAACATGAAAATGTAAACACAATAGTTTTGACATTTTAGCTTAACCATTTTTTGAAACATTACAAAAAGATTTTGTAGACTTAATAAAAGATGTATTTGATTATTGTTAAGTCTAAAAGCTGAGGATATAATATTTTCACAAAATTGCATATTTTGTAAACTTTTCAAAAACAATAAATATGATTTCATTGAACTAAATAAAATTGATATTGATGAAATCATATATATATGCATATAATTATGAAACAAGAAATGTATTTTTAATTGTATTCAATTGTTTCATATTAAAACTCGAATAATATTAAACCAAAACATTTATGTATATATATAACTATATATATATAAAAACCAAAACGTGTATGTGTGTATATAATTGAGCTTAAAATACTTAACATACATAATATAAACTCCTAAACTAATTATATCCAAGCTTGTGATCTTCAACGAAGCTCTATCTTGGTACACTTGCGGATGAAGCTTGAACTTGAATCTTTAACTTGAATTGCATTGGCTTCACTCCATAATTTCCGCCAACCTCCATTGGATATGATCGTGAATGTTTGATTCCATCCATCCTCCAACGTGTTGTTTGTCTACAATTGATACAAAAACACAAACACTAGACAAACAACATTAAAAATAAATTGTTTGTAAATCATCATCAAAACAAGAAGGCCAACATCAAATCCTAGGACGTCTTGCAATTTGGACCTCAATGGCCAAAATGCTCCATAGTTATCTTTTCTTTGACGGGCTAATGATCAGTTTCATAGTTGAGGGACTAATATGGAATAGTTGGAGATGTGAGGGACTAATATCTAAATAAACCAAAAAGAAAAGATCATCGGATCTCGTTCACTAATCAAATCGCTGATCAGAGGCCGCTAAGGTTTCACTGTAAAGCACTTTAATCAGCAGTTCATTCACTAGAGAGAGAGAGCGGGGGGAAGTGAGGAGAGATGGAGGGAGAGAAGGGGAAGAAGAAGAGAGTGATGGTTACCTTTGATGTGGACGGAACCCTAATTCGGAGCATCGGATCCTCCTCCAATCGTCTCCATCGCCTGGCTTTCTCCCACGCTTTTCTCTCCGTCTTCAACATTCCTGATTCCACCATTGATGTCCTTCAGGTTCACATAACTTCGGATCTTTTTTGAGTTTATTGGGATTTTTATGGATCAGTTAAGGGGCTGTTTGGTTCAAGCAAAATTTTGGCATTTGGTGCGGATTACAAATTTTAGGATCAAAATGTGTGTTTTTTTGGGTTTTGAGATTTCATATTTGGTGTTTGTTTCAATAATTTTTTGGAATATTGAATTAAAAAATATAAAAGCACCTAATTTTTAGAATTGGTTAAATTCTCGTAATTGGTGAGGATTTGACAAATGTCATAAATATGTATGCTTAGGGTCCGTTTGGTTGGTTTCCTAAAAACTAAGAAAAGGAAATTGGTACAAGGAAATTAATAAAATAATATTTTTATTCATTTCCATCCCTAAAACTCACCCACAACATCTAATAAAATATTATATTTATCTTCCAACTCATCTCATTTCATCTCATTTCTTACATTTAAAAATAAACCAAACACAAGAAATGTGTCACATCATCCAACTCATCACAACTCATCTTATCCCATTTTTAAAAATCACACACATCATCCAATAATACTGTGACAACTCATCTCATCTCATTAAACATTCCTTTCCATCCATTTCCTCAAAAAAAAACAAGAAATTGGTTTCCTTAAGTACGTGTCACATCATCCAATAATATACCTCCAACTCATCTCATCTCATCTATTTTCCTATTTTTAAAAACGAACCAAACACAAACAACCTCAAAACATCATCCAATAATATACCTCTAATTCATTTCCTTATTTTTTTAACCAACCAAACAACCTCAAAACAATCTTTTTTTTTAAATCACTCACATCATCCAATAATAAGGTGACAACTCATCTCATCTCATCTCCTATTCTACAATTTCCTTCTCTTTTAAACCAACCAAACAACCTCAAAACAATTATTATAGGAAATAGATTTCCTATTCTTTGATTTCCCAAAAAAATATGCCAAACGAACAGGCCCTTATTACCTTTCTTTCTATTCCCTTGTACCCTTGTAATTTTATTTTCTTGTGGGTGATAACCTCACCAAGTTAAATATATTTACTTTTTTTAAGAATTTGTTATTTTATAATTTGAATTTAAGTTTGAACCATACAAGATATTATAAATTTTAGAGTTCGCTTATCTATAATGTTGTTGAACCAAATAAAATATTAGAAATCACAAATCATGTATAAAACCCTATGGATTTGAAATTCTGTATGAGGTTACAAATCCTAAAATTTTGATATTTGAACCAAACAACCCATAACGTGATCAGTCACAAATTTTTTATAATTTGTTGTGTATGACATCCAAGAGACCTCACCCCTAAAAGCTTATAAACTCACAGCATGTTGCTTCCACATTGATTTACATATTCTGCTGATTTCAACTAGGGTCCTCTTGCTTATATGTCAAGTGTAGGATCGCGACCTTTAAGAAAAGAGTGCGCTCTTATAAAGAATAAATCTGCGAAAACTTTACACTTAAAATACTAGAGAGTGAGTTTGCAAGATGTGTTATAAATTGTAAAAAAGAATTGCAACAATCTCAGAAAATGAACATCACAAACATAAGCATGTATACATGTTCTACCTCCCCGGTGTACATCCAGTCCCCAAGCAAATCCCGCTTGAGATTTTCACTATGATTTTGAAACCTTACAAAATCAAAAACAAACCTGACCAATTTACAAGACCATGCAAATTACAAACCCAATTGATAACATCATGCCAATTGTAAACCGATTTCTAGACCAAGAGACCAACCCCTCTCACAAATTAAGAGAACATTCCTTTGAAACAAGTACAAATCCAATCCTATAAGCCTTGAATGTGTTGTGAACGTGTTTCTCACTGTGGCTATATGTTTCACTCTCTGAAATTTGCCTAAACACTTAGTAAGAAATGATCAAGAACATAGGCTTTTTTAGAAATCGGTTTTCCTTAATACCTAGGTTAAAAAACAGAATGTTTAGCCTCTTGAATGTGCACAAAGTTTAATCTTTTGAGTGCAAATCTTGTTATCTTGTTTACTGACGTTTACCCTATTTATAGCCTTTGAAAAGTCATATTTTTAAACCAAAATAACACCTCAAAACGGCTATAAATAGTAATATATTTAAAACCTGTAACAGTCAGAAAACTGCCTTTGTAGTCGACTATAACTCTTAGTAGTCGACTATTCTGAGTTTAAATAGACTTTGTGTAGTCATATAATTCCTTAGTAGTCGACTACTTTGTCTATTAGTCGACTACTCTGTAATTGATAGAAAGTCTGAAATTCTGATTCAACTCTTATTAGTCGACTATAATGTCCAGTAGTCGACTAGTTTGTAATAACACAGAAACTGATATTCTGTCTGTCTTTTGTAGTCGACTATTCATGCTATTAGTCGATTATTAAGGAGTAGATGTGAGCTATATGATATGTTTTAAGTCTCACTCAATATCTATTAAATTTAATGGTTAACATAGGGGATTTCTATAGTTAACCAACACACTAAGCATATGTTAGTGTGTTCTAACACTATGTGTGTGTATGTGTGTGAGTGATCAAGGCTTGTATACATTTCTAAGCAAAGAAAATATAAAATTACAATAAATTATATCTTATTCTTTGCTTTATTTTGCCTTGAACTCATCTTATGTTTTGAGTATCTCTTTGAATATCATTGTTAATTTAGCTGTGATACTGCAAATCAAATGTTAGCACATAATACACAACATATAATATTTGTTATCATCAAAACAAACTAATCTTGGGATCAAGATTCCTAACATTCTCCTCCTTTTTTATGATAACAAATATATGTTATTAAGATATAAAAATTTTAATCCCCCTGCATGAAATCATTAGATAAAATCTTTTACCCTATGCATCAAAGCATTAGTAAAAAATTTTAAAATTTTCTATATAACTCTCCTTTTGTCATTAGCAAAAAGAAATAAACATAATTCTAGTTAAATTTTTCTTTTCCCGAGTATCTTGATAAAAATATTAAGCATTTTGGTACCCTTTTATATATGATCCTTAGGATTAACCCTTAGGAATCCAAATCCACTTGGAATTTGGTTTCCATTTATTATCATACGTATAATTCTTTGAATTGCAAACTTCATGCATATAAGATGAAATATAAGCATTCCTATGATGAATATTCAAATTCTTAGGAATCCATATATACTTATATTGTTTACCATGAATATTCTTATTATTATTCTTCAAAACATAATCATTCTTTGTAAAATACTTAGGAACAAATTCAATACCAAAATGATTGTTTGAAGATTTTTAAAATGAGAGCAAATTATTCAAATTCTCTTTACCTTTGTTAAATTTATTCACATTTAAAGGTAAGTCTTCATATTTACATCTAAGTGAATTCATTTCTTTATCTAAATCTGAAATACGAGTTTTCATTTTATCACATTCAGATTTTAAATAAATATCATCATTAGTCAATAATTTGTTTTCGGAAAATAAATTATTATTTAGTTCATTCAATTTTTCAACTTGTGAAGAATTTGAAGTTATTAATTCTAAGTTTAATCTTTTATTTTCATTTTTTAATAACTTATAATTAGACTTCAAATCCTTAAATCTCGCATAAAATTCATTGAATGTTTCTAATAATTCTTCATTATTAATATTATTGCATACCTCATCTTCTTGTGCCATGAAGCACATGTGAGCGGATTCCTCTTTTTGTTCTTTCAGCTATCATCCCATGTCATTGCCAAAGTCTTTTTCTTCTTATTTTGTAACTTGTTGAAGTTTGTAGACTTTGATTTTGACTTTAGAAGATGACAATCCTTCTTCATGTGTCCTGGCTTATTACATCCATAACAAATAAAATTAATTATTAGTATCTTTAACCTTTTTATACTTTCAAGGTTATCGATAGCGGATAGCGTCGCGAAGCGATGAGGCATCGCTAAGGCTATTTGGGGCTATTACGGTAAAATAACGGTAAAAACATAAAGTCAAATAGCGATCTAATTTAGATATGTATAAATACTAAAAAATTAAAAAAATCTAAAAAATCTAAAAGTACTTATTTAATGATTTAAAGAGATCCTTAACATGAAATAAACATGTAATCATCACGTAATACCGAAGATGATTGAAGGAGTCAAAGAGTCGTTAGTCTTCGAGAAAAAGAGCTGAGCAATGAGAGGACTACCCTAAGAGGAGCTCACGATGAAGGAGGTAAGAGGAAGAACTGAGATAGGTGTCAGAAGCTATAAGAGGTGGCGGGAGTATGTCGAAAATCACAGGAGACAGTGGAATGCAATGGTCAAGGATCGGGTTTAATTTTACAAAAATAAACCTCAAGCCGTTTTTAAATAGCAGTCAAAAAATGGATTTCGTATGCAATCACTCACTATTTATCGTTATGATACATTATTGGCGGCTTTAGCGAACAAAAAACACATATTCCGTAATATGTCACCACTATTAGGCGATAGCGTTAGCGACGATAGCATAGCGGGAAGGGATCGCTAACGCTATTAGCGTCGCTATTGCGGGGCTATTTACCGTTATTTATAACAATGCTTACTTTAGATAAAGAACTTTTTGAATTTTCTTGAGAGAGCATCAATGTCTTCATCATCTTCATCCGATTCATTGTTATCGGAAGATGCATTTAAAGCAATGATTTTCTTCTCTGGTTGTTCTCTATCCCTTCTATCTTGAAGTTGTACTTCATATGCCATTAAATTCCCAACAATATCTTCTAGGGTAAGTGTTGAGAGGTCATTGGCTTCTTCAATGGCGATCGTCTTTTTCTCCCATTCTGGTGTAAGTGCACGAAGAGCTTTTCTCACCATCTCTAATTGTGTGTATTCTTTTTCAAGACCAATTAGAGAGTTGGTGATGTCGGTGAATCTTGTGATCATTTCAGTGATCGTCTCATGTTCTTTCATTTTGAATAACTCAAACCTATGCATAAGAACAGATATTTTAGATTTTTTAACTTTATTTGTACCTTCGTGTGTTACCTCTAATGTATGTCAAATTTGATGGGCTGAATTGTAAGTAGACACGAGATTGAACTCGTTCTTGTCTAAGGCACAAAATAGTGCATTCATCGTCTTAGAGTCCAGATTTACATTTGTCCTTTGAACAACCGTCCATTTGGTGTAAGGAGTGGTAGGTTTTGTAAATTTCATCTCTATAATGTTCCATAGATCGTAGCTAAGAGATTGGAGGTAGATCTTCATCCGACACTTACAATAGTTATAGTTTGTGTCGTCAAAGAGAGGTGGTCACTGTGTGGAATGTCCCTCTTTGAATTGTGATGTATTTGTTGTACTTGATGATGCCTTCCTTCACCTTGCTCTGATACCAATTGTAGGGTCCTCTTGCTTATATGCCAAGTGTAGGATCGTAACTCTTAAGAAAAGAGTGCGCTCTTATAAAGAGTAAATCTGCGGAAGCTTTACACTTTAAACACTAGAGAGTGAGTTTGCAAGATGTGTTATAAATTGCAAGAAAGAATGACAACAATATCAGAAAATGAACATCACAAACACAAGCATGTATACTGGTTCTACCTCTCCGGTGTACATCCAGTCCCTAAGCAAATCCCGTTTGAGATTTTTATTATGATTTTGAAACCTTACAAAATCAAAAGCAAACCTGACTAATTTGTAAGACCATGCAAATTGCAAACCCAATTGACAACACCATGCCAATTATAAATCGACCTCTAGACCAAGAGATCAACCCCTCTCTCAAACCGAGAGAACCTTCCTTTGAAGCAAGTACAAATCCAATCATATAAGACTTGAATGTGTTGTGAACGTGTTTCTCACTGTGGCTATAGGTTTCACTCTCTGAAATTTGCCTAAACACTTAATAGGAAATGATCAAGAACATATGCTTTAGAAATAAGTTTTTCTCAATACCTAGGCTAAAAAACAGAATGTTTGGCCTCTTGAATGTGCACACAGTTTAATCTTTTGAGTGCAAATCTTGTTATCTTGTTTACTGACGTTTACCCTATTTATAGCCTTTGAAAAGTCATATTTTAAACCAAAATAACACCTCAAAACGGCTATAAACAGTCATATATTCAAAACCTGTAACAGTTAGAAAACTGCCTTTATAGTCGACTACAACTCTTAGTAGTCGACTACTCTGAGTTCAAACAGACTCTGTGTAGTCATATAATTCCCCAAATAGCAAATAACGCTCCGCAACCGAACTTCACCCCTAGGGGTAAAGGAAAAGCGCACGCAAATGCCATGAACGCTAATCAAACGTTTGAGGTGCAGGCGCAACCGCAACAGCAGCAGCAAAAGGCGCCTCAACAACCAAGGTGGCAACAGCAGACCCCGAGGCCGAAAGCTTCGGATATGCTTTAGAAATAAGTTTTTCTCAATACCTAGGCTAAAAAACAGAATGTTTGGCCTCTTGAATGTGCACACAGTTTAATCTTTTGAGTGCAAATCTTGTTATCTTGTTTACTGACGTTTACCCTATTTATAGCCTTTGAAAAGTCATATTTTAAACCAAAATAACACCTCAAAACGGCTATAAACAGTCATATATTCAAAACCTGTAACAGTTAGAAAACTGCCTTTATAGTCGACTACAACTCTTAGTAGTCGACTACTCTGAGTTCAAACAGACTCTGTGTAGTCATATAATTCCTTAGTAGTCGACTACTTTGTCAATTAGTCGACTACTCTGTAATTAACAGAAAATCTGGAATTCTGATTCAACACTTATTGGTCGACTATAATGTCTAGTAGTCGACTAGTCTGTAATAACACAGAAACTGATATTCTGTCTGTGTCTTTTGTAGTCGACTATTCATGCTATTAGTCGACTATTAAGGAGTAGATATGAGCTATATGATATGTTTTAAGTCTCACTCAATATCTATTAAATTTAATGGTTAACATAGGGAATTTCTATAGTTAACCAACACACTAAGCATGTGTTAGTGTGTTCTAACACTATGTGTGTGCATGTGTGTGAGTGATCAAGGATTGTACACATTTCTAAGCAAAGAAAATGTAAAATTGCATTTTGACAATAAAGTATATCTTCTTCTTAGCTTCATTTTTCCTTGAACTCATCCTATGTCTTGAGTATCTCTTTGAATATCATTGTTGATTTAGCTCTGATACTGCAAACCTTGAACTCATCCTATGTCTTGAGTATCTCTTTGAATATCATTGTTGATTTAGCTCTGATACTGCAAAACAAATGTTAGCATATAATACACACAGTTGATTTAGCTCTGATACTGCAAAACAAATGTTAGCATATAATACACACAACATATAATATTTGTTATCGTCAAAACGAACTAATCTTGGGGTCAATATTCCTAACAGTAATGAGTATATTTCTTTTCTTTTTCTTTTTAATTATATTGATATTGTTTATCCTTTTTTTTTTGTTTGCAGCATCATGGTCAAACAGATCCCCTTATTCTGGTGAACACGTGCGTGCACTATGGCATCCCTTCTGATGTTGGTAGCTCCTAAGCTTGGATTTTGAATCTTTATAGGCATCTCTCTGCTGTTATATATGAATTTATAGAAGAAAAGACGTAGTAAGTTCCTTTAGAGATGTTCAAGAAAGAAAAATGAACCTGAAATTAGTAAATGAGCACACTTAATGAAAAGTCGTCATTCCTTTGGGAAAGATCAAGTCTTGCATACAACCTCACAATTGGTTAAGAATACTGCCATGAATGTTTCTGGTCATCGATCGAACTAAGATGTCACACTCCATAATGCTAGGCAAGAAGATAGCTATTGACAAGCTGCTTCACTTTCTTCAATCTCTAGAATTGGCAGGCAGTGTAGAAGGAACATTTTTTAGGAACAAAATGGATATTTCAGTTATCATCCACAAAACAATAGGACATAAATTTTATCCTTTTTTTCCAAATATTGTTCTGTTTCTATCAAATTGGTTAAATTAGTCATAGTATCTAACTTCGTGGAATTTTCTTATGTGTTCTCTCTCTCTCTCTCTCTCTCTCTCTCTCTCTTCTTTTTATAGGTTGCTACTGAAAGATTACCAGATTTGAAGTCAAAGATGATTGAGTATGCCAAGGAACACGCCAAAGATATAGGTGAAGGCCTTGAAGTTCTTCCTGGGGTCACTTCTTTGCTAGAGGCTTTATCTTCAAATAATGTGGCTATTGGCTTGGTATGATTGTTAGTCATCTTGTTCCTTGTACATTATTTATCAACAAGAACTTGGTTACTCTTGGAAACAATATCAAACAGCCAGTAGCGTTACTTTCTTAGTATCCTAAGCTTTTCCTCTTGAAAATCCACTTAATTATAATTCTTTAATATGAGAGCTCACTTGTCCATCTATTAGTTGGTGCAAATTCCTGACTGAGCAAATTTTGAGCTAGTGCCCCTCATTTAGTACATCTCAGTAGGATATTCAAGGAAACATGCTTTTTGATTTGGTGAAGATTTTCATCATTGATTGCTTGACAAAGATGACAACATCACGGTAAACCTGTAAATTGCTATTAATCACATCCAGGGTATCATAAAATCATACTTGTAGAGGATGCACGGCTACATTCAAGTATTGTAACCTGCAAGATGTTAAAAATATAGAACTGTATCTCTTAAGCCAGTCCTGAATTTCTGGTTTCAATGTAGTGACAATGATATTAAAGCCTTAGTTTTTAAAGCCCTAGTTTGGACAAGACTAAATCTAGTTCTTGTGCAATTTTACTGAAGATTTACTATCTACTTCGGCACCCATTTAAGCAGATGAAAAGAAGAACACCTTTGCATACTGCTCAGATTTGAAAAGTGTACTCAAATTGCACTGAAGTGCCAGAGTAAAGAATTTTTTTTCTTAGCTTTTTCCGTACCTTTGCATGTGATTAAAATGACGGTTGGAAGGTCCACAGCATATGCTGTCAAAGGAATTTTCTCTAAGAAATAGGTTATGTTTTGTGAACAGCCGTGCTGTAATAGTTACCCATACCCATGCTAAGATAGGAGTTCGGTAAATATGCAGCTTTAGGAAGACTTCAAAGTAGATAATTAAGTCCTCATACTGATTTCTGCATTACACTTCTTAACTGAGGAGGGCCTAATCTACTTGCACCTGTAACAGTGCTATAACCACTCATATATTTACATTTTGGTTCCCATTATTATGTTTTTATACAAAGGGTGCAACTCAGGCCTTGAACCTAGGATCCCACGTTACCTAACCCTCGTTTAATAGTAAGTGAGGCTTCAGTAAGAATTAGTTTATTAATTCAATGGACAGAATGATAACTCTTTCTCTGTTTATACCTGATATAAAAAAATAGTAGATGCTGTATTACGCTAAGAAAGATATAGTCTTACTGACTATCATCTTGATGGAAAGATAAGGGGCGAATCAAAATTGTCAGGATCCTAACCGCTCATGGTTAACTTTGATATTTTCTTCTATTTTTATATTTTTTATTCATTTTTTTAATGTGATATTAATCCTCTGAATCCTTCTAAATCGATATTTGTCCCTTACATATCTAATATTACTCATAATAAAATTTAAGTGTTTTGTTTTTTCCTAAACTGGATTGATTTTGTAACTATGAACTAATAATGTCAAGGAGAATCTACTTAAACTCGAACTTCTAAATGTTTGGACGATATGGCTTGAACATGTCATGTTCAAAATCTTCAACCTTACCTCCCTCCTCCTTCCGGTAAGAAACCATATTTTCTAATGTTACTTTATTAGCCAATCCCTATACATATTTTACACTCTCCCTTCTGCTTGGGAAACCCTAAAGATAAACCATTTCTCTCTATAAGCCAAACACTATAACCACTCTATATCCTCCCTCTTTATAAGAAACTTTAGAAATAAACTATCTTAAGCCTTCGTCCACTTTTCATACTTTCTGTAACCCATATAAAATCAGCTTTTCCAGTTCCCTTTTACCAATTTGAAAAGTTTACTCTTTCATTGATTATGATCAACTATCACTGCATTAGCATTTTTTATTTGCACAACTGAATCATAGATAGGAAATCCTATTGGTTGTTGAAATCAAGTTAGGTAAGTAAGGTGCTTAACTGCTTATTGAGAGGTTTCCTGTTTTTCTTTTTCTTTTGTTTTTATATTCATAGGTTACTGGTAATTTGGAAGAGATTGGATGGATGAAGATGGAGGGACTGGGTATTCAACAATATTTCACAGTTCCAAATTTTGGAGGGTGGGTTGAAATTTCATGTTATAAACCATCACTCCTTTTGCTTTAGAAGTTCCCTAAGATTTTCACGTCATTGTAAACTGACAGATTTGGAAGTGACCACACAGATCGAGGAGAACTTGTGAAGATTGCTGCTGCTAGGGCTGAGAAGCAGTTTCCTGGAGGATTTGATTTGCGTGTCCACATTGGAGACACGGTAAGTTTTCTACCATCTTGTGACTCCCGGCTGCTTCTTTAAAAAGATTAAGAACAAGTTGTTTTATTATTTTTATGATTATTATGATTATTATTTTATTTGTTTTATTTTTTTTTTTTATTTTTTTTTTTTTTGGGGGGGGGGGGGTTGTTGGTTGTTGTAATATGGGGATAATTGGGATAATTTTTGGGACAATGCTTTTTGGTGTGATTGGTTGGGATAATGAGATTGGGATGAAAACTTTTGGTGTTATTAGTTTTTTGGAACACTAGTTGGATAATTACCCCACATGGGATAAAATTGTCCCACTCATATAAAAACAAGTTTTCCCCAAGCTAAAATTTACCCCAACTGTCATATTGGAACAATTGGGGACAAGTGGGATAATTTTGGAACATTCATTTATTATTTACTAATATATGTGCTTATCATATTAGATATATAATTAAATATAAAAATAATTACAACAATAATATCATTAAAGCCTTTATCCTAATGTTTGAGATCATGGCTTCATGAATTCTATTCTTCCATTCCGTTCTATTTTGGGACATATCCTCTGTTAAGTTAAACATAATCATATCTTTCTTAATTAATTTCAACTAAGTTCTTTTAGATATACCTCTAGATCTCCTACCCTCATTAACTATAATACTATCATTTTTCCTAACCGATGGTCCGGTGCACTAAGAGGCCTCCATTGTACATGATCAAACCATCTTAGTCGATTTTCTCTTATTTTATCCTCAGTAAGAGCAGGTATACAAGACAGTCGTAATATTCTCATTTCTGCTACACGTCTTTTGCACATGTTTTTTTATTGCCAAACACTTTGACCTATAAAGTATTGTTAGTTTTATAACCGTCTTATAGAATTTTCTTTTTAGTTTCATTGGTATCCTACGATCACATAAGACTTCAAAAGCATTCTATCATTTCAACCATCTAGATTTGTTTCGATGAACAACATCATCCTCAATCTCATCATTATGTTGAATGATTGATCCTAAATAGCAAAAATGATTACTTTTAGATATTTCTTGAACATCAATATATACTATAGACTCTTTTCTTTTCTTAGTTTTACTAAAAATGCACCTATATATTCTGTTTTGTTTTGCTAATTCTAAAACCTTCAGATTCAGGGGCTTGTCTCTATCTTTCTACTTTAGAAATCATACATTTTCTAGTTTCGTCGGCTAATACTATATCATCCGCAAATAACATACACTGTGGGATTTCATCTTGAATGTGTCTAGTATTTTGGTCAATAACTAATGCAAATAGATAATGACTTAAGGCTAACCTTTAGTGTAAACTTATAGTAACAGGAAACGGTTTAGTCTCTTCTTCATTAGTTCTTACTCTAGTTATTACTCTATGATACATATCTTTAATCACATCAATATATATACTAGATACATGTTTCTTTTCTAAAACCACCACATTACCTCTCTAGGCTCTCTATCGTAAGCTTTTTCTAGATCTATGAAAAATAATAAAATGATGAATATTAGCTAAATATAAAATTATTAAATAATTAATATCATTAAAGATATTTTTATATATTATATTAGTTATAAATATAATGTAATAATATATATTATATTATGTTCTACTAAACTTATTACTAGTGTGCTGTATTAATTATAATATAATAGGCTATAGATAGTTTGAATATATTGTAGTAATTATCAAAATATATATTTAATTATAATATAATCTTATTGATTATAACATATTTAAATTATAATATTTATTAAAGTATAATATAATATATTGTAATAATAAAAATATAAATTTATATTTACGATATAGTCCCCATGACATTATGAAATAACAATATATTATAATATATAATTATATATATACCAGCAACAAGCATTACTAATAAATGTATGTTATAATTATGATTATATTAAGTATTAAATATATTTAAAATATATTATGATATTTATATTAAATACATTAAAATTATTATATTAATAATATGTTAACTATTATATACTTATAATTTATATTAATATTATATTAATTAATTAGTATTAACATATTTAGTATGGAATCAAGACTCTAATAAGTTTAATAATACTTGTAAATATATTAAATTAGAATAATTTACTTGTAATAATAAGACTTATAATTAGATATATTCATATTGTATGGTATGTGTGTTTATATATACCTACTAGTCTTCGAACACCGTGGCAACAGCACGAACAATATCATTTTTTTTCTCGCGTTATAGTAATCCCTGATTTTAAATCTATAGTAATTATTTTTTAAATTTTTTTGAATTGCTATGTTCCCAACTCTCTGAATTTTAAAATGCTACAGTATTCCCCTTTGCTATAACAGGGATTTTGCAAATAAAATGCTATGGTATCTAGTTTCTTGTTTGTAGAGTAATAAGCTACTGCATAGCATTTACAGTATCATGAAATTAGAGAATCTTGGGTTCTCCCATTTGTATAGAGAAGTGTATATATATAGTATATATTATATATAATATAATATATAGTTTAATGGTTGGAGGTGGCAACTCATTTACGCAAAAGAGTAAGTGTTAGCGCCACAACCTTTTGATGTGGACAACTAAGGTGACCTTACATTACATGTGTTCTCTGTAGCTCATTTTGCAAAATGACCGTCACCTCATACCCATTTTTCTCATATATATATATATATATATATAATATTATATATACATTATATGTATAATATATACATATATATTTATATATATACATATATATGTAATATATATATAGCATATATATATTATAGAATATACATATATATGTAATAATATATATATCGTATTATATTAAGTTATATTATATAAATCAATAAAAATGATATTTTTATAAGGGGTACTCATCTAATTGCGAGCACCACATAAAATTGTACCAAATTATTAATGTCAAGTATCCCCATTGTCCCGAACTATCTCACTTTGTCCTAGGCAAATTGTCTCTATGGGTTAGAATTACCCCATTGGGATAATTATCCCACTTGGCCCCAAATTATCTCAACGCATAACGTCACTTAGTTTTCATATAATACTAGCAAACTAATGTTTCAAATATTTTCTAGGCTCATCTACTTACAATTTTCTTTTCTTTTCTTTTTATCGCTAATCATATACCAAAATCCTACTTGACACTTAAAATTTATTGTTGAGTGTAACAAGTTTAAAGAGATTCTAATAGAAACTTATTGATAATGGATTGAATTTTAAAAAGATTTTTAAGAAATGTTTTCTATTCTTTAGTGTGCATCTCTCTTAGGTTGATTTGTCACCATTCTCTTACTGCTACTTTTCATCTCATCCGTTCTTAGATGCTCTCTGTTTTGTATTTTGGGGCCTATTTCTGCCCATGGTTTCTTCACTCTTACATGGTCTCTAATGAACCAGCTTATCATCCACAACTTTACCCCAGTTCCCATCTCCGTAGTTTCCTTTTTACCTTTAGTTTCTTCTTTAATTACCTTCTTCCCAGTATAGAAGAATCATGCGATGTTTGTTGACATGTTGTATTCAGCGAGTGACATAAACAGATACGAGTTGCAAATTGTACTTCAGTGGACTTTGATCTCCTTACTTGGACCTCATCTATACCAATATTGCTTTTGCTTCCATCACTCCTGACCTCTTGTAAAATGATGACTGGTAGTTGATATCCATTTTTTCCCAATCAACAAATCAATTTATTGAATTCATGGATATTTGAATCATTTCCATGCATATGCATTTTAAATGAGTTTTGAAATCTGGGTATGGATCTCGGTTTCAGTTTGTCCTTGTTGATATCAGTATCTATTACTACATGAATAATTGAGTTTAACCGCAACTCATTATTTATTGATATTTTCTAATTGTAATGGTAGAAGATCAATAAAATTACGGAACACCCCCTAAGGTTTGTAGGAATAACAGAAAATCAGTCTCAAGTTTTAAAACTAACACTTTCATCCCCTCCTTTAATTTTTTTTTCATTGACAATGTTACACTGGTATCATGTGAGCCTTTTGATGACATGAATAGCCTGCTTTGTTCTTCTATTAAAAGGTGGACAAGGGTTCTTTTGTTATTAAACGGGTCGCATGAGTTACACGTGACCATGTTTGATGGATAAATAAAAGATGGCAGTGAAAATGGGAGTATTTTCTTCATTCTTACAAAACGTAGGGGATTTTGTGCAAGTCTCCAATCAACTTTTGGTGCTTTAAAGCTCAGATCTCTGTTATTAACTGATCAGGTTAACTAGATTCAGACATGAATACATGAAGTGGGTCCCTTCGTTGAATAAAATCCCCTTAAAAAAATTAGTAGTGTTACTAATGGATCTAGCGGCATCAACATCATCATTGCAACTCACTATAAGTACCTCCTTTGTACATTGATTCCCATCTGCCTTTAATTGCAAGATGTACTCTTTGCATTGAGTATCAGGTGTTTTAAGTTGTTCCAATGTTCCAGTTTAATTTCTTATATTTGTAATCTGGCAACTGAAAGTTTGTTAAAAGTGAGATTTGTCTATTTTTAAAAAAAATACTTTATAATTAAGAAAACATATAAACTTCTTTAACCAATTTCTCTCCAAAGTTCCTTCATTTTGAATGAACACATTGTGTGCACGTCATTGCAGCACACACTTTTCTTTCCATTCTAAACAAGAAAATTCCTGACAAGGCTGATAATATATTGTCATAACACTTGCACAGTTACTAGAACTTAGTCCTATGATTTTACCCCAATCAAGTGCAAATAGATATACTAAACTTTCCCATATAAACTTAAAGGTAAATTCCACACGAGCCCCCTGAATTTTCGGGGCTGGAGAACAAAACCCCCTTGAAACTTTGTAATACATAGGGACCCCCCCCCTGAACATTCAAAATTGTTCTAAAAAGTTTAAACTACCCCCTTTTATTTTTTACCTTTTCCTAAATGGGAAATATACAAGTTATATTTAGCAGTTTGGGGTAAAGTCATCCAGAAATTGTAATGTGTGGAGCATGCGGCAATAGAGTAACTGCTAGAAGTCATGATACTTAAGTGAGAAGTTCAAGGTGTGTTTTCATTGATTTATGAAGTTTAGAGGGGTTTTGTTCAAAACCCCCAATGTTCATGGGGATACCTTAAACTTCAAATTTGACTGACGCATATATCTGCAGCCTAATGATATTCGAGCTGCTGAATATGGAGGAGCTTTAGCAGTAGGGGTGTGCACAGGGGTATTCTCAGGAGAGGAGCTGAAGCAGGCAAGCAATGGTAGTGCCATTATCCTCGCAGATCTTAAAGATACCGCATCTTTCCTAAGGTTACTGGGCGTTGACGGCTGATATCTTCACTCTGTATAATATTGATAAATGATGTTTTAATCCTTGTGTCTTCTCTCTGTATAACATTGATAAATGATGTTTTAATCCTTGTGTCTTCTCTTGAGCTGAAGACTTCAGTTTATTATTTTCATTGAAGTTCTCTGAAGATTATTTGATTTGTATTTGTAGTATAAGATGTTTACGAACAATATGTGGTGTTAAGTCTGTTACTTATTGGGGATTTTTTAATAGGACACGCGAGAGACGTTACTATATATTGCTATGAGACATTTCACTCTATGATTATAGAGCTGGACGAGTTACGACCCCGACATGTACATATTTAGGGACTGGGGGCATGATGCGAACCCCTAATAAAATTATTTGCATGGAAAATGTCTTTCAAATTGTATTTCATTAAAATACTAATTTCTTAGAAATGATTAAATAAATATTATTATTCTTCTCTTTAAGAGCTTACACCTAAGTATTATATTCTAATGTGAAAAATATGAATCTGAAATCAATTCAGATTTTTTTATCAGATTATAGTATGCAGTACACGGCTAATCGAAAGTTTAAAATTTTATTATTTTTCATTTATCGGAAAGTTGCTTAATTTCGATATCTACACTATGGCAATATTACCCTCTTATATTTCAATCGTTCGCAGGAATGTATTCTCACTTGGTATGAAGGGTAAAAAAAATTGTAACTTTTCGGAAGAAAATAAGGGGGAGAAAACTGTAGCAAATGTTGTAATGAATTTGGTGGGAGTAAAAAGCTACTGCCTTATAAAAAAAAGGAAGACAAAAATTTACAAGTGATTCCGCTTCATCGAAATTTGATTTCAAAATAGGAAATTCATGTAACTTTTGCATCAATTACTTTTCAACCATGCATTGAAACTATATTCAAAACGAATAATTATTTTTGGAACTAAAAAATGGGACCACTCTGTGGAACTGATGGTGTGGAATATATTACCATATATTTTAGCATCCACATCATCTGTCCTATGGATTGGTCCGTATACAGTTCCTCCTAGCATTACCGATTGAAAATATGTTGCCAACAGTAAAATTGCAAATATCCAAATAATGGATTCATAAGGCACCAAATACGTCACAATTCACAAATCAAATGTTGAATTGACATTGAAAAATAAATTTCCCAAAACAAGATTGCAAATATCCAAATAATGTATCTGAAAGTTGATTTCCTGCAACAATATTGCAAACTTGTTTTTGCAACAAACCAAACAACCAAAAGGTTTCAATTAATCTTAGGGAAAAAATCAAAAAAAAAACAAAAAAAACCCTGACGATTATCGTAAAAACCCCCTTAACTTCCAAAATATGAGAAAACCCCCTTAAATACAGGGATTATCAGAAAACCCCCCTTTAGCTTTCATATTTTATCATAAACTCCCTCTAATTTAAGATTTTATCTGAAAAACGCCCTATACTTAGAGGGTGGTTCCACTAGGGTCTGTTCGTTTGCCAAAAAAAATCCGGAAATCTCTTGCCACCTCAACTTTCAAGAAATGAACAAGTGCCACATGGGATTTTGTTTTCAAGAGATTTCCATTTCTCATGTTTGTTTCGTTTTTAATTTTCAAGAAATGAACCGCCACGTAGGCTGCCACCTCAAACTTTCAAGAAATGTGTTTTCACACCAAATTAGGCTGAAAACACTTGGAAATGTCCCATCTAAGAATTATTAATTAGTAAAAGCACTGTTGGAATAGTGCAGAATAATAAAACATAATATTTAATACCACCATTTCTCATTTCCTATTTCTTGTTGTCAAACAAACAAAAGAAATAGAAAACTGAGCACTGTTACTATGGAGGCTTTTTTTGTCTGTTTATGTGACTTGGCATTGAAATGTGGAGTTTTCTTTGCGAAACAAACCAAAAAAAAAAGAAATCTGGGAAATGTGCTTGAAATGTATTAAAATCATTTGAGTTTTCCATTTCCAATTTTTTTTTGGAAATAACCGAACAGGCCCTAATGGCAAAGTCATAAGATTTGTGTGTGGATAGTTGCTGCCAGACCATCATATGCTCGCGGAGTCATTTATCCATACCCACCGCAGAGAGAGGACAAGATGAGGATGGGGGGTTAGCAGCCTGTAACCAGGGAATGGAAGTCTGTAGAGGAGGAGCCAGCGTAGGCCGTACGCTCACACAAACTTGCACTGTTCAAATCACTACGCTCCGCAGGCACTCCCTCCCCGAGCCAAGAAAACACAACAAATGCGCTGCAGACAAAACTCAGCCAACCAACCGAACCAAAAAGCCTTTTTGGTTCACCTCCCCAAACCAATCCAAACAAAACGACGACCATTTAATACTCTCATTAATACTACCACTTCCGACTTCTATTAAAAAGGCCGCCTGGGCGTCGACGGCCCCCAAATCAAAGCAACTTTAGGGTTTTACAGAGAGAGAGAGAGAGAGTAATGGAGGGCGGCCGGGTATACATGGACGTAAGCATCGGAGGCGAGATGGAGGGGAGGATCGTGATCGAGCTATTCGCCAGCGTCGCGCCGAAGACGGCGGAGAACTTTAGGGCTCTCTGCACCGGCGAGAAGGGGATCGGCCCGAGCACCGGAGTACCTCTCCACTTCAAGGTTTTGTGATTTTGCCAATTGGTCCTTTTCTTTGGTTTTATTTACTCTGCTGCCCTTGCCTTTTGGTTGGACCCGTGAAGGGAGCGGAGAATAATCAGAAGCTCTGTAATTTTGCTGCTTTGACGGTTATGTGATGGAAAGTTCGTTTCTTTATATTTTTGGAAATTGAGTGGTTTCAAAAGGGTTTAATGAACATAGTAAACTAAGGGCGAGTTTGGTGATTTTGGAGGAGGAAGTAGTTGATGCCATAAATATTTTGTATTGTTGAAAGAGAAAAAAAAATGTGATGAAAAGAAATTGCTGTTGAGACTTAGTTTGCGTATTTACCTCCTTTCTTCACATTTTCCTTCTCTTTCAACCATACAAAATGTTTATAATATCAGTTACTTGCTCCTCCAAACTTCTGTTGCCACCGAACTTTTTGGTCTAGCCCACCCTTATTTGAGAACCTTCATTACAACCTATCAACACCACTCAACTTCTGAAGATCCATTCTCTTCTTTAAAAATTAAAGCCTAATGTATCACTGGACAGCATTATACTTATCACAAAAAATAAAAAAATCCATGATCCTAACACGGTGACACTCTTTAAGAATTCTCACTTACATCTCGGTCTTCAAATCAAATATCAGAGGATGATCACACTTGGGTAGACAAAAAAAAAAGTTCCCGATATTGATATATCACTCCACTACTAACCTCTAACCAAGAACCCGAGATGGAGGAGTTGAAGGCTATGTTGGGATACATTTTGTTTTATGTGCTATTCTTCATGAACCCCTGTATATG